TACATAAAGTAATCATGACATACCCTAAGCTTCGGTCTTCCATTTCAAAATAATATACCACTCAATAAAACTTTTTGAATGATCATTTTTTCTGAAACTTCCTATCAATTACTGTCAAATTTGTTATGTGTACTTAGGTTACAGTGATTGTACCACTTAGAAAAGTAGTGTTAGATTATTTCATGCTACTGAAAATGATTTTCCTCTTGTTTTAATAATTTATTTTGTTGGATATGTGAAGTAATATATTGTTGGGCTAATTTTATTTTAAAAATTCAGATTTTACAGTATAATTAAGCGCATAGCATTTTAATCTTGTTATTGAACTTTGTGGAGTTGCCCAAAAACCGTCAAATATAAAAAATGATCAGGGCTGCTTTAGATTGAAGTTCCATTTTTATTGAACAATTTTCCTTACTCACTGCTATTACTTTCATACTTTTTATGCTTTATGATTCTCACTTTTTATACTTCATGTCTTTATGTCTAAAAATAACATGGCAATAAGGGAGTAAAAGGGGGATGGAAAGAATTTACATGTTGGAATATTTGAGTAAGTCCTGGTATGTTGCTGCTATTAATAAATCCAACCATTTTATTACTTTGTATTTCTTCCTACTCCTTGACCTTTGAGTATTTTACTACTGTGATCGCACAGGTAGTAGGTTGCAGAATTGGAATCAAACTCACGTAGCCTGAATTAATAACTCATGTCTTTTCTGAGGTCTGTAGACAAACATTTAGTTTCTTTTCTCAGCACAGTCTGGGAAGCCTGGCACATACCTACTTACTAACTTGCATAATTGAGTTTATTCACATTAAATATTAGATTCAGCACTCCTTTTCTTTGTACTTTCAGTTGATGTTAACAGTCCTTTTTAAGCTTGCATGAGATCATTGACATCACACCTATCATTCACTGTGCAGTAGTGTACAAGTTAATAAAATGTTTGAAGGTTATTCTACTTTGAGGAAGTTGATATTTAACAAAAAGAAAAGAGGACAGGCACGGTGGCTCACATCTGTAATCCTAGCCCTCTGGGAGGCTGAGGCAGGAGGATCACTCTAGGTCAGGAGTTCAAGAACAGCCTGAGCAAGAGCAAGACCCCAGGACCCTGTCTTTACAAAAACATAGAAAAATTAGCAAGGCCTGGTGGTACACACCTATAGTTCCAGCTATTTGAGAGGCTGAGGCAGGAGGATCACTTGAGCCCAGGAGTTGGAGGTTGCAGCGAGCTATGATGATGTCACTGCACTCTACCCAGGGTGACAGAGTGAGACTCTGTCTAAAAAAAAGAAAAAAGAAAAAAATTAAAAGCAATAAATTAATAAGTACATTGATAGCATTTGCATATGGGAGCCACCAGAATATGTTTATTTTGCTGTTGCTCTATGGTGGTTTTCTTTCTTCCTCCAAATTGTGACTACTTTGAAAGCTTCTCTGGGAAAAAAGAGTATTATACTTTTGTATTGAGAATTAAAATCAAGATGCAGTTGTTTTCTCTCCCATTTTTTTCCTTTCCTAACTAGTCACTCCAAATCTACCTAAAACATTTGGCTTATTGCATCTGAGCTTTTTGACTAAGCGATGGATATCTTTTTGATCTGTTCACTTGGTTTGATCAGTGTTACTTAATAAGAGATGGATCCATAAACTCAATCTTTGTATTCTGATGCCTGCTTTATGTCAAACAAGGTTGCTGTTGGAAGATGGGCATATACTTTTTCTTGCTGACAGGCAGTTTCCATTTATCATAGCTAGAGAGTTTAACAGGGAGTAGAATACCTCAGCAACTTATTGTATTTTTGTTATCTGGATACTGAGGAAAGTAATTTATTATTTCATTCTACTCTGGTTCTTTTTAATAAGGATTTATGGAGACCTGAAAGAATATAGCATATTTTGAGACAGTAGTTTCAATGAAATATAGATGCTTTTTCCTGTATTTTCCAGGTGAGCAGTC